TTGTAGCTAATTTAAAAACATTTGTAGCATGCAGTAAGCCACAAATCATTTGGTTTTTCAACCTGTGGCTTACCCAAGGTCCCCTGGATCTGAACTAGGATTTCTTTGAAAAGGCGTTTGCTCTCCCATCTCACCTACGTGATCCAATCCTATACAAACTCACTACAGCACATCAACTCAACAACCCTTGCAAGGATGTATAGCACTCTTATTAACTCCTCTGGATTGGACAAAAAGGGAGAACAGTGATTTTGCAAAAAGCACAAAGATTTACACTACATAACAGTTTGATTTTTAGGGAGATTAGCAAACAGCTCTGTTCTCCACAGCCATGAAAACTGACATCTAGCTTCACAGCTGAGAATCCTAAACTGAAGCGACATCAAGGCCAAAGATCTTTTGAGACACTTGCACATAAAGATTTTGTTCTACTTTGCTACGATCCTAATTGTTTTCATTTTCTTTGTGGAGAAATAGGGCATCCACTTCAAGACAAATACTCTAGAGCTTTACATCTCAAAATGCAGTTCAGGAAGACAGCTGCACTGACCCAACATCATAGTCACCACCAACAGCAGTAGTTCCCTCTTTTCCTTTGCCCACGTTACCACTGTTTCTCAGTTCATCAGATGCTTAACTGACCCAATTAAGCCTGTTAATATGCCAGAAAACTCTCTTCCTTGCAGTCTAGCAAATGAAATCAGCCCGGCAACAGAACTAAGGAGCACTTGCACTCAGAATGGGACAAGCCACCCAGAAGTGGAAAAGCCAACTTCCTTCCCCTGATACTAACCTTCTTGCAGCTGCAAGCTGTAACTTCAAGTCTTACCATACTCATCTAGAATATGTAGAATAAAGTCCCCCAGAAGATATTTTTAACTCAAAACCCATTCTGAAAATGTTTTTTTTTTTTAGAGCATTCTCTACTGCCAGCTCTCCTTTTAATATCTCTTCCCTTAGCTATGAACTAAGTTCCAGAAAGTAATTTTATGGAAATAACTTGAGTAAAAGTTAACAACGTAGACCTGAAGCGCGCTGTACTGGTTTGTCACTGCTCATTTATCTTGCTATACTCAAGTGGCATGAGAGTGATGTCACAGAGCTCAGTAAATCTCATGTTTAATATTAGAGCGAAACACTAAGTTTGTCTCTGATTTGATCTGCAGCTTTTGCTAGGAAAAGCTCCTCAACCACTCAACACAACTGGATATCTACCTACTGTCAGAACTTCATGCTAAATCAACACGAAGTTAAAGAGGCAGCAGTCCTGGAATCTAGTCCATGGGTTCAGCCATGGTGTGGCAGTATGCAGCTGAGCAACAGGAGCCCTCAGTCACTGCATGAAGACTACCTGACATCAGTACAACATTCTGTCCAAATGTGTCATCTGTCTGCTTCGGCAAAATGAACAAACGTGACCAACAATTGCAGGAAAAAAAAAACACATTTAGGAAAGACATTTAGTACTACATTCACTGCACATCCAATATTACTTCCATCCCTGTAACCTGTCCCTCAATTAAAATTCTCATTCAGAAGACCAAATTGCAATCTTATAGTCTGGGTGTTCCATCTACAGGTTTTCACAGCCAATATAAAAACAGTACAGAAAGGGTGACAGATGGATACAGCCAGGTACATACAGAACCTTAAGCAGAGAATTAAAATTGGACTTGCAGCAGAAAGTCAACTGCTAACAACTCCATTATTAACACCAGTAATCTGACCACAGGCTATGAAGTCTCACTAGCACACTCTGGTAAGACAACTTACAGCAGAAGGTACCCTTGCTATGCTTTTATGAAATTTCAATTGATGATCACTCCTGTTAGGCCTGTGTTCGTGGTTAACAGAATCAATTTTTTTTTCATTTGAGCTACACAGCACAGTGTACCTACTGCTTATCCAGCAAACAGGACAAAAGTTATTTGCAATTATGGAGTGTCTAAGTTTACATCCTTCCAAGCAATTTGACATTTCATTTTATAGAGTATGATACAGATGAGAATCTGTCTGCCTCTCTGCTATGACTCAGATCTCACAACAGGCATTTCAGTGAGATCTGCATGGATACAATCTTGCTTGCAATCATGTTAACTAGCAAGCAAGGGTAAGGTCTGTACTTTCGCTACTCCGTACATAATTTTCTTTGCCACTAAAGGCTGCAGAGTAGCAGTGCAGTTTGTTCTCTGGCTACCATATTCTCAGGACAACAACATGTTTAGGCCATTCCCAATGGTCACAGAATGTCGTACTTCAGTTTACTTTCACTATTCCCAGAAAAGAAGGTATCTGAAAAGAATCCAGAATCTTAGACTATCTACTGCACCCTCCTAAAGATGAAGATGCACTTTAAAGTACTGATACAGAATCTGATGCCTTATTTGCATTACCACTATCACTATGCCACTATCTAGCTCATATTGTACTGGTTCTAAACGGGTAAATAATAACACAGCCTATAAGTCTTAAAGAAGTACAAGGGCCTAACAAGTAGTCCAGCCACTACTCACATACAGTACACTGGGGATGGTAGTTAGCAAATCCCTGGAAAATTCAGAGTAGAATGATGAAAAACTGCTGGAATGTGAGTAGCTGTTTCAGTTCTTTAAAGATACAAACAGATTTGCAACTTTCCTATAGTCATCACTGTAATAAGAGCCTTAAACATGAATCTGAACTAACTTAAAATTATGTTCAGTGATAAAACAATCATAATTTGTTCTTTACTCAATTTCCTGGGTAAATACTGGACTATTTCTTGCTACTTATTCACTCTTATAACAGTTACCCTATGCCTCAAAACCAGGGTTTCATCAGTACCTCATGAAATTTACTGTAGAGGGCTGCATTTCACTTCAAGGTAACATCCTGAGACCTAAACAAGTAGAGAAGTCTAAATGATGCCCATGTGTCCAAATCATACTAGTTCTTCAAAGGAGGTCAATTTCCAGACTTTAGGGCTTAGATAGGAAAAAAAAAAATTACTTGAGGAAAACAAATAATAAGATTATACACTTGTTCACGTAATCTCAGCTAGTAAATGCTATTTTTACTTTAAAATCTGGTCCTAGGGCAACACTTGTGCACTAGAATGAGTAAATCCATATATCAAAGTGATAGCAAGACAAAGAATATATGTGAAAGATCACCTGAGGAAAGGATTCACTGGACAAAAAGAATGTAAAAAAAAAAAAATACTTCTCAGTTTTGCTACAATATAACTCACAGGTTAGACTGAAACCTTAGAAGGATGAAATAAACACTGTTGCTGTTTTCCCTGAATTTGTTATTGCTCAAGCACATTTCTCACATTATTTAATAATACAGCATGAAAACGAAAGAGTTTTCAACAGTTTCACCAAACCATCCTGCAAGTGACTCCAAGTATTACTGGAGATATACAGGAGTATAACTTGTGAAAAAGTAGTACCTGAATGTCCATGAACGACACTTCTTGCAACAAGCTATCTACGAAATTAGCTTCCAGATGAGAAAAACACAATCAGCACAAGTAGAAAATGGAAAAGTTTATGCATGATTTGCCACTCAGTAACTCATTGGTACTGCTGCCAATCTCAGCATCTATGCCTGCCCACCTCCCTAGCACTTCCTCTACATCTCTATTCCCTTCTCCACAGCTGTGAAGCTTACCAGTCCTACGCCGAACAACGTTATCCATCTAGAGCAGCAAAAATTTCCAGCTGGTAGAATTCCACTAAGTAGAATCAACTAAGAGGGATCAGCAGAGCAGTAGGAAGATACTGACAAGACAAGACAGGAAAACCTCCTTGTACAGTCGCTATGTCTACTCAAAAAACTCACTGTGCACATTTGTTTGAAGCCTTTCCACTTTCAGACTTACGCCAAAACAATTTGTCTGCTGTTTGATTTGCACAGTTAATGAAAACCTAGCACTGAGCTCAGTCACTGACTAGATCTACATGCTAATGCTTTTTTCAAACACTAATGCCATGCTCCCATTCACATTTCTGCTGCACAGTGAGTTGCTGAAGACATCTCCAGTGGCAACAAGCAAATCTCGCTGTTCCAAGCTGCCTATACCTCTTCACTCCATAGGTCACATGGACACTAGCTGACCTCTGAATGGTCTGCAAATGGGATGATGGGGAATATCCGGTCCCTTTCCTACCTACCTGCTCGGGATTTTTACCAGCTTTTGTAAACACCAGGAGAAATACGGGAAGAATTCACATCTATGGAGAAGATTAGTTTAAACTTCTATTTCGTTACAAATTTACTTTCAAAAATGATTTATGATAGCTACAGTTATAATCACAAGGAGTCATTCGGCATCTCCAACCACTCCCTGCTACTTTACAGACTGGAACCCAAGAATACAGCCCCACAGAGCTCAGAGTCACGAACAGAGCTCACTCCCACTGACACACTCTGAGAACCTGTTGACATTGAAGTAACCTCTAACTTAAGAAAAGCCTGCAGATGTGTTCACAGTAACAGTACACTTGTGCTGTGAAGTATGAAAAGCAACGCTAAGCTTGTGAATGTCAAAGCTGCAGAAAGTGCTTCCTTCTGATCCTTAGCAGCTAAGGATGGTTACAACAGCCGTTAGGGTGCCCAGAAACCACAAAGCCAAAAGCTCTTCTTGTCAATATTGTGGAACCACCGAACAGTTTAGGTTAGAAGGGACCTCGAGGCGCATCCAGTCAGGGCACCGAGGAGCAGAGAAGAGCCGCAGTGCCGTACACCTCCCGTTCCCTCTCCCCCTCCCGCAGGCCCGCACCACAGTATCTCCGCGCGCCCTTTGCCCCCATCCCGCCGCCCGCAGGCCTCAGCTTGCCGCCGGCATCGCGCAGCGCCGGGGCGAGCCCTCACCTGGCGGCAGCAGGTGCGGGCGAGAGCAGCAAGGGCCGGAAACGCACGCAAAGGGCCCGCAGACGCCCGGCAGAACTCAGCAGGGCCGCCATCCCCGCCGCGCGCGCTGCTAACAGAGGAACACGTGAGGCGTGCGCCGCCGCGCATGCGCAATGAGAGCGACCAGAATCCGGCGCTCCGCTACCGACGGGAAGCGGAAGAAACCATTCCTCGCGGGGAGGGAAGCGTCGGCCCCGCTCCTGGAATGGGCTCGCTGAGGTATGCGCGGGCTTTCCGCTTCCTCCCCCTCCCTCAGTTTGTTACGGATGGAACATTCCTCCGACCCTGCACTGGGTTGGGCTGAGCGACAGCGAACCCGAAGTCGCTGTTGCCGCAGATAGTTTGAGGGAGAAAAAGAGCGGCTTCGGGGAGGACGCCTCGTTGCGTTTCGGGATACGGGGGAGGTGCAAAAGGGAGAACGGGTTCCTGCTAGCCCTGCGTGCAACTCCGCCTAGGGCAACGGTCGGGCTCGGCGACTGGGTGAGCGCCCGCCTTCTCTGGCTGAAGGAAGTCACGTGGGCAGGGTGTTGGGGGTGGTGCGAGTAGCCATGTTCCTTGCAGGGGTCACCCCTGTGGCGGCGACTGGGAATCGGCGGGGGGGAAGGCGGGAAGGCGCTGTCAGTGTGCGCATGCGTCGGGGGCGGCCCCTGCCGCCTTGCTGCTGTGGGAAGGGGCTCAGTGTGGTTCACCTGCTGGGCTCGGGTGTGGCGCAGCGGGCGAGTGCAGCGAAGATCTCAGCCTCAGCGCTTGTTGATCGTAAGCTTCCTTTAAACCCTGCAGGTGTAACCTGGATTTTAACCAAAAAGCGAAATAAAAGCCTTTGAAATGCTGCTGTCTTCCTGCTTTTCTTCATTTGAGAAAAACAGAAAAAAATAGGCGCGAGGGGCAGACAAGGCACAAAATTCCCTGCCTGAGCTTGTTTGCACTGCTAAGGTGTCGTCAGCATCGATGCTTCTTAACACATACATTACAGCTGCTTTGTGAAACTTCATTATGAAACATTGATTGGAGGAGTTCTTAGAAGTGCTTGCTTTCATGCAAAAAAAAAAAAAAAAAAAAGCAAAAAAGAAAGTGCGCAATTATTTTTTGTATGGATTGCAAATAGTTACTCCAGGGGGCAGATTATTCATCAAAACAGATTGATTTTATCAAGTCAATTACAATCAGCTGTTTGCTACCAGGCTTTGCGTGGTAGGACTTGCCTCCTCACCCAGGTGCAGAGGGGCCGCTTTCAGTGCACTGTAAAAGCACACTTGTGCTGTTTGTAGGAAGGTCCTGGATGCTCAGTGTTTCTCATAGTTATCTTTGAGGTACAGATTGGAACTGGTAAGGCAGTGTTGGTAATTACAATTGACTTTGCTTTAATGCAATATTATATTTTGTAGAATGTAGTTTACCTTACTGAGGAACTGAATGATGAATTTTTGAATCAAAACTCAAACCGAGCATAATGTCTCTTAGTTTGACTTAGGGGCCTGCTCACAAGGCTTGGTTATGAGCCCCAATTGTTTGGAGTCTTGCTGTAGAGGCAGTACAGGGATGTCTAGAATGCTTGCAGTAAGGGCTGGAAAAGATGAAGCAACTAAATAGCAGAAAAAGAAAAATATTGAGTGGATGCTGGGATGCTGACATATTAATAACAGGTAAGTTCTTGTTGCAGAGACTTCTCTGCTACAGTATCATTAAAGAACAGTGTGAAGTTGTGTTTTGGAAGAGAACAGCCAGGCAGGTTCTGACTAGGAATTCCTCCAAGGACAAAATGCAAAAGCAACTGCTGGAAAATCTAGGAAGTAGGCAACAGCATCTGCAATGGCAGGCTGCTTAGAGTAGAGTTGGCTTGTCTCTACTGAGTGAGATAACATGAGATTTTTGCTGCAGCAGGGAGGAATACCTTGGTGTGAAGAAGACAGGAGGTCCCAAGGAATCGATTTTAAAACATGATGTATCTGGAGTATCAGACTTAAGGGTTCATGTTAGCTGAAGTTCACTTAATGGGTGTGAGGGTCTGCATCACATCAGTGGAGATTTGAAAAAAGTAAATCCAGTCATAACTTTTAGAGCATAGGAGAGTCCTTTTCTGCTGTCCTTCCCCCCTCAACAGCCAACACCTTCTCAGACTTTTGTCCTGATTCATTCTTCCCAGGGAATTTATTCTCATTGCTAATAATGCAAGAATGTTCTCCCCAGGGGTAGTAATCAGGCAGTGCCAGAGTACATTCATGGACTCCAGAGCTGTGTATGCTGTTGAATTCCTGTATCTAACAAAGTATCAGGAGCTGGCCACACTGAGCTGGGAGAACAGGAGGATTTTGGGGGTTTTGGCCAAACACTACCAAAGGCTGCAAAATGGTTACTATTACTGAAAGTAGTGGATGAAAATTGCGTGCCTGCAGGAGATGGTGAGAAAGCTTCTCCTCGTTACATAGGTGGTTTAATCATAAAGGCTTATTTGAAGATGTTGTGGAATTTCCAAAGCAAGAGTTACAGTATCGTGGTAATTAGAGCTCCTCTCACTCACTCTTCCTTCTTTCAAATAGAAGTCCGTATTTAAAAAGTAGTTTTTAAAAGGATAGCTTATTCCACAGGTGACTTTTCAATATCTAAAAAGACAAATGTGTGCTATAAATGCATCTCTGGAACCTGACCACTAAAGCTCTCTGGAGTGAATGATTCAAGTGCTGTCAAATGACTTTGAGATGTCAGAAGAAACATGAAAGGACACGCAGCAGCTCTAATATGTTGTTTGTATAACTGCAACGTGAAGTGAGGAGAAGCGGTGCTGGTCTAGGACTGTTGCCTTTAGGCAGTTTGGATGATGCTGCTGCATGTCAGAGGGTAAAACGATAACAAGGATCACGCTGATTGCCTTTATCAAATTAAGAGGGTTTTATCATATTAAAAGAAGCTAACCTCTGGGGGAAAAAAAAAAAAAAAAGGACCAATCTCTGCGGGCTTTGCAGTAGGGTTGTTTGTGTTTCCTTCTAGAGTCTCAGAGGTGCCCTCTCCTGGTCTAAGCTATCTGACGGAGCAGGAAAATCTGCCATCGTGGTGGTGGATGTGAGGCTCCTGCTGCTTACCTTCTGATGCTTGTAGCTGTCCTGTTACATCTTAGATTAACGTGACCTGCATTAAAGTCAGCTGTGCTCAGCCAAAACCGGTGGGATAGGAACATCAGTCCTCCTGCCGAGGTCACAATTCAATGTGATTCATGGCCTATTTTATTCAACAGAGAGAGGCCATGTAATTTCTAATGTTTGTATGATGGCCACATGTGCATTGGGAAATAGGCCATCAATAAGGTTTGCCATACTGAGAATAATTTGGAAGATTTGGGGGAAGTTATGCCACAGAACTGAATAGATGGTGAATCATATATCTGCACTGCTGGTATCAATATAAAGGGATATCAGTATTAGGAAAATATAAGTCTAAATTCATGGTTGGTAAGTGTTTTACATACTTTCAATGCCTCATTTAAACTTCAGTCTTAGAAGAGAAATTGAGATCAGCTCACTTGTGAGATGAAGTTTTATTGCTGGAATGCCTGTTGCTGTTGGTCTCTCAAGTGTTAACTGTTTCCTCTGTCTGCCCTAACAAAAAAGCTTACCTCATCCATAATGTACATTTGCTTACATTTAAGCCAGTTTCATGATTTATGGAAGCCTGAATGCATAATACTGACAATACAGCAACATGGCATGATGTTCTGCTTTGTTCTGAGTCTGGTGTAATGATGAAATCAAGATGAGGTATTCAAACCAGGTAGTAAGGAAAAAATCAAAGAGCCAGATGTTAGGGAATGTAGGCTAATGTCTTAGTTTCCTGTTAAAATGGCAAATAAGATGACAAGCCCATGATACGGAGAAGGATGCTATGTAAACTAATTCCATTCCAGTGGCCTATGGCAACTTAATCTCTAACGAAGCAAAGCTCGCTGCTTATTCAATGTACTTGTTAAAATGTTTCTGCAGGCACAAATGATTTGTTTTGGTTTCTTTTTCATTTGGCTTTTATTTGATCACACCCAACGTTTCCAATGATGTTCTCAGGACTTCTGGAGTTGTAGTGCTGTAAAATAATTATTTCCTCTGAAGATGCAAAAGAATTTAGCTCACTCATCTTCTCAGCTGTGTTAGTTTTGCAAGGTTAGTAGAAAATTTAATAAGTAGTAGAGCCTTTATCTTTGTAACCAAGTCAGCAGATCTTATCCTAGCTATCTACGGGGAGTAGATCTGATGAGTAAGAGGGTACTTTTTTTATACAGTTAGTTTTCAAGGATCACAATTTGAAAATGGTTGTGACATAACTGGGTCACATCTGAAATTTTTCTATAAGCTGCATAAAAAGAGAAGTTGAGGTAGCTGATTTTGTCAGAAGGTATATTTAGAACTGTAGTGAATCATAGTTGAGGGATTTGCATATTGTAATGTTACTGAAAAATGCAAATAGTCATATTTTTAATTAGTAGTCCTTCAGCATTTACCTTTTGCTTTTAAATAAGAAAACAAAGTAAGAATTAAGATATGGATGCACTTGCATCACGTTATGTTTCTTCTACTGTTGCCTTTGTTTTGTGTGTTGAACTGTGGGCATGCCATACTGCAATAAATATCGTGTCCCAGAATTTGGCTATTTTGGGTGCTCGAGTGGTAAGTGGTAAGATGTTTTAGGAATGTTACAACTATTTCAACTGCTTTTAGATCCAGTAAAGGATAAATCATATTCAGATTTTAGTTCATGCTTTATGTTTTGGTTAGAAACAGGTATGGAGTGATTCAGAGATCCTGTAGATTGCTAGCTGAACTAGGACATACAATAAAACATGATCCATATGCTAAGAGCATTTGCTTTAGGTAAGAATCTTCTTGATGTGTTTGGATATCATTGGGCATGCTGGCAGATACTTTCTGCCAAATGTCCTCCTGTCTCAAATAATGAAAAAATGTTAGGATTCTGGATGTAAGACTGATCTAGTGCAAGCATCTGAGGTCTAGGTTCCTGCTTTGATTTGAAGTATTTGAGATTTTCTTACAGATGTTTGGATTTGTCTTTAATGGCTACTCAGTTACTGTATTTTAGAACATTTAGTCATTTTAGGCAATTAGTCATATATCACCTAAAAAGGCCACTTATAGCCTGAAAAACCTAATCCACAAATAATCATAATGAGTGCTAAATCCCTTGGCATAAGCTGGAGTGGGTTTCATTTAACTGGGGAA